ACCAGCGACCAGGGTGAGACAGCTGTGGTATCCAGGGTCTTTGCTTCTGGTGCTACAGTGGATCAGCAGGCAGATCTTCTGCTGGCGGTAGCCTGGGGCCATTGATCCAGGCTCCTCTCTGTCTGACTTACCCTTATTTTTGATTTGTTCTCCAGGAGGAGATACCCTGCCCCTCCAGTGCCGCCCCATATCCAGCAAAGAGCCAACGCCTGCGGCACCCGCTTTCTCCCCACCAGTTTGTCAGCCGAGCAGGCTTTCAGCTAAACCGCATCTTCGCCCTGCCAAGCTCTGCCAGGCAGGAGATGCCTACACCCGAGAGAAATTCAAGCCACGGGCAAGGCGTAAGTTGGCAAACATCGCTAATAAATAAATGATGCTGCCCGGTCCCTCTCTTCCCCTTCCATCCATCCCCTGCCTGCAATCTCAGCAGCTGCAGGAAAAATCTTAATTGTTCTTCGTCCTCATGCTTTCTGTCTACAAAGATGCTTTAAAAATAGATCTCTGAGGGAACAGCTACTTAAGTGCTCACTGACTTCTGCCCGCTGGCTAGGGGGGTGACAGGTGATAGGGACTCGCACAGTCCTTGTGTAAGAAGGGAGCGCAATGTAATTTTCTAGCTTCTAAATAGGAATCAAACCTCTGATGTCAGTTTAGTTGTGTCTGTACAGCTGTGCGGTGCTCACGCAGTTCAGGCTGAAGATGGGCTGTCGTTAACGTAACGCTTCCTCTGGCATCATTAGCAGGGAAGCAATCTGGCCAGGCTCCTCCCTGAGGAGACAGGCTGAGAATAATTTTTTTCCCCTTGGCATTCACAGGAGATTTGGAAAAGGAGAAGCAAAGGCTCCAAAACATCCTAGCGACAGGGAAGGATGTGGTGGAGCACAAGATGAAGCAGATGCTGGTTCAGCCAAAGGAAGAGGAGTTACCTGAGCCTGACCGGTTTGAAGAACGTACGTCTTTACGTACCCTGGAGGAAGGCAGGCGGGAAGCTGGCTCCTTCCAAGGGCTGGGGTAGCGGGCTGTGTTGCCGATAACCTGAAGCCTATTGCGGAAGGAGGCACAAAGCCCAGTTTCCAAGAGAAAGGACTTGCTGCTGTGAGGCTGTGATCCAGCCGTCCTCGCGGAGCTTACCCTGCAGAGGTTCGCTAGCAGGTTCAAGCTGCCTGAGCTGCCCACACAAAATGAACTCTGCTGGCAGGGGAATACCCTAGGGACGCACAGGGTGACCTGTTTTCTTTCACTCCAAGATCAGAGTAGTTACACTAGCAAAGCTTAAATGTCAAGCAGAATTTTAGGCAGTGATGGACTTTGGCCTGCAGAGTATTCTGGGACGGCAAAACCCTGCCTAATACCTCTCTGTGCTTGAATCTTCAATGTGTTTGTACAGCCCAGCCAGGCCTTCGCTAGCCAGGGCAGCACAAAGGTGGACAACGCTAGAATAATGTGTACAGAAGGGGTGCTTTGGGCCCTGCTGCCAGGAAGCCAGCGTGGCTGGCTTCATACACACTTTGTATCCTCTAAAACTTGTCACAAGCCAAGTGTTGTCCTTGACACAACTGAAATACCCATGTACTTTGTACCGTAGCAAGATTTGGACCAGCTGGCTGCAGGTCTGTGCTGCAAAGTGGCAGCTGATGTTCTGTGCCTGTGCTGGGAGCAGAGATGGTTGCAGTCACTGGGTGATGCATGTCAGATAAGGAACCTCAACAGCTTTAAGCAGATTCTGTCTCCATCCACAGACTGGTTAAATTGCCCACAAGCAACAGAGAATTCTCTGTACAAAGAAAACTAGAAAGTTACCATTCCTGCAAGATCTGGAGCGGTAAGAAGATGGGCTGGGGGGGGACATTTCCCATTGCGTAAGGGACTACTGAGGTATTTGATGACAGGGATCGCTGCTCAAACAGAGCTAGGAAATTGGGGGTTCAGATCTAGACAGAAACATGTTTTCTTGCCTTTTGGCTGAATCCTGTTTCCACGGTGTTTTCTCTTATCCGTCAGTGGTGAATGAAGTTCAAGAGAGGAGGGAATTCCTGGCAGAGATGGAAGCTCTAGGACAGGGCAAGAAGTATCGAAGGATTGTCCTCACTGAAATCTCACAGGTACGCAAGGGCCCTGGCAGCATTTGCCACACAGTGTGTGGATGGACTCCCTAATATCAGAGACCTTAAAGCAGAGGTCTAATTCTGCTCCAATACCTGCGTGGGGAGGGAGGCAGAGAACTGAGTGTTTCCCTTCATGGCACAGGACAGGTGTGAATTTGGGGATAAAGGTTTTCAGCCTTTCTTTCCATCTCTGCATGTAACTTAATCAGGGAAGTAGAACATTTGTTCTTAGGATTGGCAAAAGAAGAAAAAAAGCTGCCGGCTTTGTCCCTGCTCAGCCCTTCCCCTTTGTACTTTGCAGAAAATGCGCGAGATGGAGATCATTGACAAGAAGAGAAGTGAGGAAATGAGAGAGATCATGACAAAAGACTTCCCTGGTGGGAACAAATCCAATCCCCACGACTAGGCCAAGGGAAAAACACAAGTGCAATTTGTTCCCACCTCTTCTTCCCAGACTCTCCGTGTCTCAAGGGCTGGTCTGTGCCTCTGCCCGAAGAGGGGGCAGCACCACCTGTTGCCTAAAGCCAGAAGGCAAGAGCAATTTGTACGTAACTGGCAACAGAAGAAAGCTGTTGTAAATTCTACCCACGCACCGGATCCCTTCTTTTTCATATTAAACGATATGAAAACACACAGCAGCAGCTACCAAAACATGACAAAGCAGAGCCCCCTTTTGCCTATGCAATGCCTCAGAGTACAGCAATCCACCAATAAAAACATCACCCCTTTCCATCCACCCAGAGGTGGAGGTTTCTCGTGACAGTACAATGATAACACACGTTGCTACCCACATCTATGACACAATCCTGTCCCCACAACTCTGGGAATGGCTGTGCTGGCAGACGGCGGGGAGGAAGACGCAGCCACCCGGCCTTGCGCAAGCACGAGCCTCCAGCATTGCTGCAGGTCAGCGTGATTGCGTGCATCAGCAAACTTCTCGGCAGCAGCTGAACTGGGCAGGCCTCAGGAACACAGCTGTGCTGAGGAAGGAGAGGGGATTTCAGCCCAGTGCCTGCTGCTCTTTGCTGTGGGTTTGCTGTTGTTTTTTGGTTCCTGAAAACATGGTACGCAGAATAGCCATCGGCTTCTCATAGAGCCTGGAAATGACTGTTTGCTCACCTCACGCATAACTCCCACCTCTGTGCCCCAGCAGGCTGAAGCGTGATGCCCTGCTGTTCCTGTGTAAATCCCTGCATAAAGTCTGCCTCCCAGGTTCCTTAAGATCCCGTCATCTGCTTCTTCACGATACTCGCCAGCCACTCCCCAAAGCCAGGCAGCACGTCCTGTCCCCAGGACAGCACAAGTACACAAAGGAATCAGAAACCTAAGCCGCAATTGGTTTTTAAATCCAATGTTTCTTTTATTTCTGTTCAGGTGAATGGAAGTAACTGAGTTAGTATAGTATAATTTACAAATCAAGAGTTTGGACCAGGCGCAGGGCCAAGGGGTGTCAGGCTGCAATGATCCCAATGGCCTTTGGCAACAGTGACATGACAGCAGGCTCTCAAGCGGATTTGTTTCTCCTTGGAGGAGAGTTGTGCTTTGAGATCTCCCCTCCCATACCACTACTCCTCATCAGCCTGCTGGGGTACGGCAAGAATGAGATGGCATCACCAGCACGGGGCTGAGCTTGCCATCTCCCAGCCACGCGGGCCATGCTGGGATTAAGGAGGGGCTTGGGTCCCTCAGGTTTTGGGAAACGAGGATCCCTTTCCAGAATGCTACGCCAGCACCTTGCAAGGCACTGCTCCAAAAGCGTTTTGGCTAAAGTCTGTTGGGTTTTTAAAAGGGACTGCAGCAGTTTGCTCCGGGCTGGTTATGTCTTATTTGCTAATGAGAAGGCATGATGAAGAGCTCACCAACCAAACACCCATGAAACTCTAATTCAGATTGATCCAACAATTCAATAAATAGCTCCTCGCCTCAGAGGAGAAGGCAGGAAACAAAAACGGAAGGAAGAAGGGATGATTGGAAGAACACCGCCCCCCTATTCCCTCCTTTAATGTACACACACACACACAAACACACAACAAATAAAATAAGGGGTTTAAAAACTTTTAGGGTGGGTTTGAATTCATCTAGTAAAGGAGGTGTAAAAAATGATCAGCCAACCCCTGCACACTTTTAAAGTATACACAGACGAAGCTGGGTAAAGGTCAGTTGTGACCGTGCCTCTCTCCCCAGCCGCTCAAGGGTGGCACTGGTCAGCAGGGGCACAAGCTTAGTGCCTCTTGCTGGAACTAAGTCAGTCTTGAGCTTTTCTGCCCTTGCCTGGAAAAGGAATGTTCCTCCCTCCCTCTGAAGGCAACAAAGTCAGCGATGTTTAGCAGCAGCGGCGGGGAGGGGTAAGATGTCCTGAGTAGGGTGCAGCGAGCAGTGAGCTACGTCCTAGCAGCTGTACACCGTCCCCTTGGGTCCTCTCAGCCCTGTAACGAAGCCCACCCAGCCCTGGCACTCGAGGGAGGGGACAGCTCAAAATAAATAGGGCACCAGTTATTTTTTTGGCTATGGCTCTAGAGCCTTGTGATGCGGGAGTGTTTTCTTAACATTTTAGTTTAGGCCAGTAAAACCCAAAGAATCCTTATTCTAATGCCAGAGTTTTCTCCTGAAGTTAAAAATGGGACAGGGAAGGGACAAGAGCGGGTGGGCAGTGAGGGACAGGCAGGCCCAGTCCCCTCCTGGCAGAGATTGGAGGCACATGGAACTGTCACAGTTAGAGCGAGAGAAGGGACGGGGGGGCAGTTAGTGCAAGTTTTCCCACAAACACAAAACTCCTTGGCTTGCTTCTTGGTTAATAACAAGAACACGCAATGGGATAACGTATCCAAAAAGCAAATCCATCTTCTCCCTGCCTTGTTAGCAAGGCTTCACAGAGGGGACAGTCATGCTCCTCCACAGCCTCGGGAAGGGGAGTGCTTTGGTCGGACTCCCCGGCTCTGGGCAGAGGGCTGGCGTCTCCCTGGGGCGGCAGCTCCGGTGCCTGGGGAGGGAGCCGGGGGAAAGGCGAGGGGAGCGGAAGGAGACAAGCCCCCTTTCCTGGCAGATATCCCAGCCAGCTGCAGGGAGGCCAGGGCAGTCAGGCAGCACATCCCTCCCACTTCTGGTGTTCCCTTCCTCTAGCTTTTCTCCTTGGGTGACTTGCTTTTGGAATCGTGCTTGTTGCCCAGCAGCTTAAGCACCTTCATGGGCTTGAATTTGCCTTTCTTCTTGCTCTCGGTCTCCGTCTCCTTGTGAAACTCTGGGGTCGCAAAGGGAGGTTGTTACTGTGGGATGTTGATGGTTGTACACACACACAGATGACAACAGGGGCAAGGGGGACAGCCACGAATCAAAGCCCACCACTGTATGCATGCTTCTTTCTGTGATAACAGGGGTGTGCGGCACGACTGTGCCCCAAACTTTTACAGCCCTACAGGAAAGGCTCCAGACTCTACACAGAATAGATTCAATCTCTCCTTCTGCACACAATTTCATGACTGGCTTGTGCTGCCCCTTGCTGGGGTCAGCAGTGAAAACATCACCCCAAAAATCTTTCCCATTGTTTCTTACCTTTCCTTTTAATCATGGCTTCCAACATTTTATCCTCCTCCTCTTCTCTGAAAGAAAGAATGGGAAGAGGTCAGCAATTCAGCCCTGAAAACAGCTGTGGTATTGTTTAAGGCTAGAGAACCTCCTACTTATAAGCCATGGAGGGGCAAATCCATCACTGCATGTGAGCATTTGCTACCAGCAGGATAAATCCCATGTGCTGCACGTTCTGCCCTGCCTCTCCCACACAAAACATTCAAAGAGACAAGGATCGGGAAGCCTGGGAAAGACATCAGCAACAGGGACATCTTGGAACATCCCCACAAGCTGTTCATGTGATGCCGAGTCAGATGGGCTACGTTTTTCCCCCTCTCCCCCAGCCGACCCCACTCCTCACTCACCTCTGCCGGTCCTCGTCCAGGCAGTTCACAATGGCGTTCCTCTGCTCAATGATGGTCACCAACTCCTGCATCAGCACCTTCTCTCTCCCTCGGTCATCGTCGGTCCAGTCTTTCTCTACCCAGCCAAACCCCAAGGAAGGACAGGCGATGAAATGGCTGAAGGAGCTCTGAAATTCAGAGCTTTGGGGCAGAGACCCCCTAGCACGATCCCCTGCTACCCTGCCATGCTGCAGGGCCAGTTGGGCTAGCGGTGCTGTGGAGGGAGAGCCCTGTAGGTGACATCGCATGGGGACAAAAGGAACACATCTCTGCACAAGGCTGGGGCACGCAATGAGATGGGACAGCGGCTCTAGAGCCAGCTGATTGCGCTGGCATCCCTAAAGATCTGTCCCTCTTCACCTGAGACCCACCTAGACAGAGGGGAGATGACGCCCAGGGGAAAAATGGAGGTAATTGCATCTGGAGTGATGCTTTTTACCTGGCTTGTTGAGGAGGCAACGCAGTTCATACTCCACGTCCGACTGTCGCTGCTCCAGGTTCTGCTGCTTGAAGCTGCAAGGGAAGGGGGAACTGTTGGGAACCACTGCAAGGCTCCAGAGAGGCAGAACATCATCCCAAGCCATGGGGTGAGCTTGGAAAGAACCACTGAGATACCGATCTTTTCCTGTATAGCCCCAGAGCCAAGCACCAGCAAAGACCAGCCCGGGATGCTCAAGGCCTTCCTGGAGGAGATGCCGCAGGGGCTCTGGTGACTTGCAGTGGGTCAGTTCTGAGTGCGTTTGGATACATTTGTCTGCTTGCCCTATTTCCCTCCCTTCTCCAGGCAAGGAAGCCATGTCAGGCTCTCCACTGGAAGCACAATTTCAGGAAGGCTGAGACAGGGCTCCCCGCAAGACCGTCAGTGCCTCCCCGCATGCTTGCACACACTTACATGTAGATGAGCTCCGATTCGTGGCGCACCAGCATGTGCTTCTCATGGATGAGTTTGAACCACTCCACCAGCAGGCTGTCCTCAGGGCTGTCTGCCAAGCAAAGGGACAATTCAGAGCCATCCCCAGCCCTGCAGGATCTCATCACCCTGCAGCAGGATGGGCTCTGCCAAGACAGGAGAGGGGCACTGGGATAGAGGCAACCTGACCTCAGCCTGTTCCTGAGCCCCAGAGAGAACTTATCTCTTCTCCTGCCTGTTCTCACTCTAGGGACATCTTCACGTCCAGAGTATGGCTGTGACTGTTCTTGGAGCCCAGCACAGCCCCTTGTGCTCTTCCAATCCCAGCATCAGCAGGGAGGAAATCACCGCTGCCATCTCCTTGGCTGGACCCAGGTCTGTCCAGCCCCACACGCACAGACAGCCCACCTCACATACCATTCTCAGTGCTGCGAAGTTTTTCCTCCAAGGCCACCCCACGGTGTTCCAGCTGGTCCAACTGGTGTTCGATGGCATCCATCTCCCCATAGATGTCTTCCTCGGGGATGTACTGATCTGTCTGCACCTGCCAAGCCGCAAGGCAGAGAATTCCATTACCACCAACCTCCAGTTTCCAGGCATAACCCAAAGGCTGCTCAACACTAACAGGGGCGGGGGGACAAGAGAACACTCCAGCTAAGCATGGATCCAAAATCCCCAGCCCACTCTGGAGCAAAGCGAGACCACGATGTTGCCATCAATGGTGTCCAGTCTTGACGCCACCCTCCCCAGCCACAGCCACCTGCTGCAGTCCCTACCCACACATGCATCAGCAGGGTGCATGTGTACAGCTATGGCCCTGGGGGATTGCAGAGAGCTGGTTTTTCCCCTTCCTGCTCCCAAGGGCCCTTTTACCTTGCGTTTGATCAATGGGAAGCCGTGACCCGGTGCAGGAGGACGCACTGGCTTGGAGCCTTTGGAAGGTTTCTTTGCAGAGGGGGAGGCAGCAGGCGATGGCTTCCGGTTGAAGGGGTTCTCTTTGCAGGAAGACTGCAGATGGGGGACAAAAGGAGATACGTGAGGGTCTAGGAAAGGGAAGGGATCCCAAGAGCTGCGACTGAGAGACGGTGCAGCCATAGGGTTCATCCTGCCCCACACCTTCCTAGAAGAGGAACACAGCGCTGATCTCCACCAGCAGCCTAGCCATGGGGCAAAAACCAGCTGTGCTCCTGTTTGGCATCAGTTCCTCAGCTTCTCTCTAACAAGCATGCTGAATTATTTTCCTTCATGGTTCCTTTCCTATTTGCTCTGACCACACAATATCCTGCCTCTTCTCTAGCACGTGGGGCAGGCAGAGTACGAGCGGAGCCACCATTTAATGTGCACATGCCTGAGGCTTGCTTTCAGAGGGTCACACACCAAACCTACCTAAGCAGCAAGTCTGGACTCATGATCCCCACTGTGACCAAGTGACAGACAGGGAAGAAAAGCCCCCTGATCTGGATGGGAAGAAGGTCACCATCTCACCTTCAGTTGTGGCTTGGGCGAGGAGGGTGTCTTAGGGCTCCCAGCACCCCCATCTGAGGCCAAGAGGATGGGTGTAGGGCTAGCCCCGGCAGGAGGCTTGGGGGGCAGCCGGCTGGGGCTGGTCTTTAAGCTGCCGGTGGAGACGATGGGGTGCGGGCCTGCGCCTCCCCGCTGAAGCTGGCCAGCTCGCTGGAGGAGGAGAAGGAGGAGTTGGTGGAAAGGCTGGCTGGGGCAGCAGGGCTTTCGCTGGAGGAGACGCTGGCCAGCGGTGTGTCAGTGCTAGAGGTCTTGGTGGCCGTCGGGGGGGGGG